TCAGAAGAAGAAGAAGAAGAAGAAGAAGAAGAAGAAGAAGAAGAAGAAGAAGAAGAAGAAGAAGAAGAAGAAGAAGAAGAAGAAGAAGAAGAAGAAGAAGAAGAAGAAGAAGAAGAAGGGGGGAAGGGGGACACCGTTACATTAAAGGTTTATCAGCAGGAAGAGAGTAATGACTTGCTCTCGGTTATCTGAAAGGTCCGAATAAGATTAATTAACTGATGGGATGGTGCCCGATGGGTTGAATGTTAGGGGAAATATTAGACGGCCTATCTCTCACAGGATGTGAGATTAGGAAACGGTTACCTAGAGAAGTGATAATTGACTGTTGCATAGACAGTATTGGCTTTCCTTCCTGGAAGTTCTCAAGAAGATGCTGGACAATAACAGTCAACATGGGGGTGACCCTGGATTGTTTTTTTTTTGGCATATTCAGTGATCGTATGAGATGTTTAGACAGATGTTTAGAGAGGGTGTGTGTGTGTGTGTGTAAGGGCACCAGCGTGCCTACTGTCCCTATCTTACTGTCTCCACGTATCTGTATCTGCTTCCTTTGTTTGTGTTTATGTTCATACCTATACTTGTTATCTTGTACAGGTGTGACAAACAAAACAAAATAGATTGGAGAGGCCTCCCTCTAGAACAAGAGCAGGCCACCAGAGGCCCTCCAGATGTTTGATGTAGAGCAAAGGGCCTCAGGCAGTGACCCCCAAAGCTTTCCAAGCCCCTCTTGAGTGCACATTTTAATATTCTCTGTCTGTCTGTCACTTCAGTTGCGAGTAAAGGTTTCTCTGATACACTCACGTTCCTTGGTAAAACCAGCTCTAGGCGTTCAGTTGTTCTGCCAGGGTCAATACAGGGGAAAGGATTATAATTCACACAGTAGTAGAGAAAAACGGAAAAGTATTTGCTAGACCGAGGGATACATTATATTTTGGCAGGATTTTCTTTTGCGCAAATCTAGCTTACGGCTTCCCAGCCCTGTGGGTCTTTCATCCCCCTTTCTTCCCCACATATTCGCCCCCCCACTCCCAAAGACCAGACAAAGCCAACCCTCCAATCCCAAGAGAAGCCTTTTTAGATATGGGAGCCTTACGTGACGCCCTTCACTTCTCCAGATGCCGTTCACAGTTTTGGTGGGTGCAATGGTTACCACAGGAGGTGTGTTCGGCACGCTGTGGCCCCCTGGAGGAACGATGAGGGGCCCCATGGGCCCTCGCTTGGGTGTGCTTGCAGGGGAGCTGTGGTTGGTGGCTGGCGAGGAAACTGGGGAAGATTCACTGCTGATTGAAGATCCTACAATCAGGAGAAAGAAAGGCATCAGTAGGTAGGAAGACCTGAAGCAGTTCACCGTCAATACTCAACACTCGGTGGCCCAGGAGCGGGATCTGAAATGGAACTCTGGCAAGTTCTCCCACTATTCAACTTCCTCAAGATTTGACCCACAAGAACCTCTTCCAAACACGGGTTCCGATGCATCAAAAGCTATTGGTGGACAGTTGGAACAATTAACCAGTGGAACAACTTGCCTCCAGAAGTTGTGAATGCCCCAACACTGGAAGTTTAGAAGAAGGGATTGGATAGCCATTTGTCTGAAATGGTGTAGGGTTTCCTGCCTAAGCAGGGGGTTAGACTAGAGGACCTCCTAGGTCCCTTCCAACTACAGTGGAACCTCGGGTTGTGTTTGCGACCAAATCAGGTGATGAACAAAAAATCCACCCCGATTTTTGAACTGGGTCACGATTCAAAAATTGGGTGGTGAACAAAATCAGCACCGAAAGATTTCCTTTCTGCGCCGATTTCCCCCACGGTGCCATTTTTGGCGGGACTGCATGCATGTGCAGTCAGTCGTGCTTCCAGACATGACCAAGTCGGGTTGCGACCAGAGTGCAGGAGCAGATTCCGGTCGTGACTCGAGGCTCCACTGTATTCTGTTCTGTTCTTGATTTCACGTCACTCCTTCCTGCTCCAAGGTCATTCGGCCCCTGCTGTGCTCTGGATTCTGAGCAGAAGTGATGTTCCAGGAGGACTCAAACAGCTTCTGCCAGCAGCTCCTTAAAGAAGGTGCCAACAGATGCCCTGGAGCTCCAAAACTCTCCTTCCAGCGTGAATCCAGGTTGCTGCCCAAACTTAACAGACCTTCAGCTTAGATTCCTTAACATTTGGCCTAGTGGTGGGATCAAAAACTTTTACCACCAGTTCTGTGAGTGTGGCTGGGTGGACACGCTTTGCGTGCATGCACACATTTTGCATGCACGCACGCACGTGCCAACCAGGCCGAACCAGTAGCATACCACCCCTGATTTGGCCAAAGAAAACAGCTTCCACCCAGGAAAGAAAAGATGGCCAGGTGGAAATGGAGTGGAAATGCTTCCCGAAGCCCACAGCAGAAGATACAAGTGAGACATAGACCTCTCTCTTAGCACCCCAGTAGAACATCTCAGTCTAGAGTTGTATCTCCTCCTCTCTGTAACTATGCTGAAAGAGATGAGATTTTGGATAAACAGAATAAATCCTCTTTTTTAAAAAAGCTTTCAGCAAGACTTAACCACGATTTGCAGAAAACAGTAGATGGATCTAAAGTACATCCATCTTGGGGTTACAGCAGAGAAGGACGTGTATGGCGAAGAAGATGGTTGTTGCAGAAATACTAACCGGATGCCAGTGAGGACCCTCCTGCGGTATTACTGTGGGTACTTCAGGACAAGCGCACTGTAAAGCAGACAATATATTTCAAGGAATTCTATGTGTGTGTGTGTGTGCAGATATGAGGCACTGAAGTAAAGAACCGAGAGTTAACAAAAGATAATTCTCTTACAAAGCAAGGAATGACAATGAGTCACAGAACCGGTTCTTTCATCATCCCACATATGTACGTTCTTGAGAATGAATGCCTTTGTACTCAACTCCAACGTCCCTGGACATTTCCAGGACATGCCAAGTTCTAATTTGCAAAACACTGGCTGGATCTTCAAGAAACAAAGCACTAGGGGGAAGATCATGGCAGATGCTCAGAGATGACCCGGTCAATGAGGGAACCTGTCGGAAAGACGGTCATATCCTCTTGCTTTCCAGAAAACATATCTGGAGATGGATGGATGGAGAAAGAGAGAGAGAGTGATAGAGTAGGGGAGATAGGAGAGAAAGAGAATAAGAGAGAGAGAAAATAAGAGAGAGAGAGAGAGAGAATAAAACAGAGAGAATAAGAGAAAGAGAGAGAGAAGAGAAAGAGAATAAGAAAGAGAGAATAAGAGAGAGAAGAGAGCAAGAGAGAGAGAGAGAATAAGAGAGAGAGAGAATAAGAAAGGGAGAGAGAGAATGAGAGAGACAGAGAATAAGAGAGAGAGAAAAGAGAGAGAATGAGAGAGAAAGAAAAAGCTCCACCCCCCAAATGATTTATGTCTATGGAGATTCTCAGTTGTCCAGGTCATGGTTATCCCAAAGCTCTCAAAACTCATGGCGCAACTTAGGAGAACAAACCCACAAAGACGAGATTCAGCAGGCCATCCGCATTTGAAAGACAAAGCTCACTTTCTTGAAGACAGCAAAGTCCACATTCCGGACAGAGAGGACCGCTGGTGTGAAAGGGGGGGGGGGGGTCAAAGAGGCCATCTACATTAAGATTAAGCATCCCTCTCCCAAGAGGAGCGGGAGGGATATGACACCACCGATCTCCTGTTTACAAAGCAGTCCTTTTAGCAGTTCTACAAAGGCTCCACGCCCATTTGACCCTGAGGGCACAGATCAACCTCCAAGTGGCCTCAACAGCTCTCAGGAAGAGTGCTAGCAACCAGAGGACTGCAAGGAATATTAAACTTCTTGGATGAGAAGCTTCTTGGAATATTAAGCTTCTTGGATGAGAAGCGAAATGTCTTCAAGGAAAAAAACAAAACCAAAGCATCTGTGGGACAAAAAGACTTGACAGAACCCAGATTTTTATTTCCTTATACAGATGTGAGACATTTGGAATTGAGAGAGTGAATTCTCTGAATCAGGAGTCTCCAAACCTGGTGATATTAAGACTTGTGGACTTCAACTCCCAGAAATCCCCAGTCAGCAGGAGGTATAAAGTCCACAAACCTTAAAAGTGGCCAAGTTCGGTCCTTGCTCGAAACAGAGAACTGCCAATGGCAGGAAAACAGCTCACTCCTCTCTTCACACTCATTCATGTTCACTCAACACAGCTGAAGAGGGGACAGGAGTTAGCACAAAACAACCCCAGGCTGTTTGGATGAAAACTACCCTCCTCCCTTCCCTGTATTATCTGGGTTATATCTTTTGCATGACACACTTTCTTAACCCAGTTGAGGGAGTCACAGATCTCAGCTTTCAGGAGAAGACGGGCTGTGTCCCTTTTTTCTTTTGATTCAGGTTTGGAGTAAGTCTAGATTTGGAGAAAGTGGTTCTTCCTACTACTGGTATAGTTGAAAAAGAAATGGCAGCCTGTTCACAACAACCTGGCCAGCTGGCAACGGGAATGTAAGGAACAAAAACGAAGGGTCTGAGCCAGCTTGAAAACTATCTGCAAGAATTTACTCACTGTGAAATAACAACAGCCAGCGTAACCTAGAATAGTTCTCTATGAAAGTCCGTCAAGAGCGTGAAACCCTAAATGAGGAGTCCAACCTTGACCATTTTAAGACTTGTGGACTTCAACTCCCAGAAATCCCCAGCCACCCAAACAACTTTAAGACTTGTGGACTTTAAGTGGGGAATTCTGGGAGATGAAATCCACAAGTCTTAAAATGGCCAAGGTTGGACACCCCTTCGATTCTCGTGTTTAACCTGAAGTCACAAGGAGACCCCAAAACACCTTGCTGGAGATCCAGAAGTGAGTGGGTTAGATTTTACTCTTCTTTGCTCCAACACCGTGGAGGTGGGGAATCCACTGGCAGTTCTTAAGAGGTTCCTCAGCCTTCGATCCACAGCCTCTGTGGATCAAGAGAGGACCAAATATGGACAATTTTGAGAGGAGAACTCCAACCGAAAGGCCAACGAAGGAAGTCCCCTCAACTTTCTACCCATGGCGCCTCCCATGCTGTATTAATTGTTCCCTGGCTCTGGCACCCTACCTTCCTTCTGGAGAGCAACCACGCTGCCGGCTCTTGACAAAGGAAGCCACAGATATGGATTTGACACCCACCGAAGTCTATCTTGTCAGCGCGAGGCCGACAACAATTAGCAGCCTTAATCCCCTTTGAGCTGGGAAGCCATTACTCAACCGCGCAAGAGCCTTATCAATCAATACCATCACAAAGGAGCCGGCAATTAATGAAGCTAAAGTCTTACTTCAGAAGCCTTAATTCTCACTGTGTGGCTTGGGAAAGGGAAGGTTTGTGATCGTTATAATTAACTGGCGGTATTCATCCAGGAGTTATTCAGTGAAACTAATCTGGTCTTGGAGATGACAAGAGGCACTGTGTGGCACCGTCACCTTTGTTATTTGACCTCCTGCTTTCCATTCACTGATAGCAGATTAGCAGGCAAGGCTGACAGGCAAAGGTAATTAACAGCTGAGACCCTCGGAAGTCACACAGGCAGGCGGGGTGGGGGGCAGGGAGCAGGGCGGGGAGAGTGAACAAGACCCAGCGTGGATCTCAACTTGCCGAAGCTTGCCATCTGCAAACGTGGCGGATCACATTCGCCCCCCCCCCCCGATGCCCCTCCTTCGAAGAAGGAGCGCCTTTCCAGATCCCAGAGGTGCTCCTCACGCTTCCAGGAGAAGTCAATCCATATATGGATCTCCGGCCTGGGCCCGTGAGGCAAAAAAGGAGGAGGAGGAGGAGGAGGAGGAGGCAGCCATCTTGTACCTCCAGACTCTTTTCTGCCAGCCCTGGGCCAAGAGGGTCAAACTGGGTGGCCTCGTAATTGTTCAGAGTGGCCTTCTGAAACGTGGTCCGTGAGATGCCAGTGCTCCAGCCCCATTTTTGGATGGACTGTAGGACAAACAGGCTGAAAAACAGCTTCTATCCCAGAGCAGTAACTCTATTGAATTCTGCTGTATAGTGCAGCATTGGTGCGGTGTTGCGGGTTTTTGGTTCAAGGTGTGGCGTGTGAAGGATGTGTGTTTGTGTTTATTTTCATGGCCACGAAGTGCACTGAAGGTGGTGTTTGATTTCATTGTACAGGTGCAAAGACAATAAAGGAAGGCTAACTATGTAGAACCTTCCTTCCCATCATGGAAGTTGTCAGAAGTTGTAGGTGCTTCACCACTGGAAGTTTTTAAGAGACGCGGCAGTCACTTCATCCGAAATGGTACAGGGGACAGGGGGTTGGACTGGAAGACCGCCAGGGTC